CACACACACACACACACACACACGCCCTGACTATCTCCAGCTGACACACACACACACACACACACGCCCCGACTATCTCCAGCTGACTCACACACACACACACACACACGCCCTGACTATCTCCAGCTGACTCAGAGTCTGAGATGCCTTCAACATGTTCCCAGATTGATACTATGTGATTGTCAGAAATCTGCACCCCTGGTTGGTCCTTAAGTCCCTGACTCAAAGGACAGGTAACCACTCTCCCTTGCCACTTAAGTCTCTTTCCTCGGCACTGGGACTGTCTTTACCTGATCGATCCTGTCCCTCTAAACATGCTTTAGAGATGGTGCCTGTAGAATGCAAGGCAGGTGGGGGCCACCAGGAGCCATCCCCCCATCCAGCAGCCCCCACAACAGCACAGAGGTTTAGAGCTGAACTTGACAGACACGCATACCTCACAATGGCAGAGGCAGCAGGCCTGCCAGTGACGATGCGGAGCTGAGCCACGCTGCCACCTGCCACCCAGAAAATGTGGCTCCTCACTCACTAAGAGGGAGGGAAAGCCATCAGCAAGGTACCAGGCGTTCTTTAGGTGGGTTGTTGTTGAGAAAGCTGCCTCCCAGTTCTGCAGGATCCTACCCGACTCAGAGCCTGTGTTCTCTGCTTAAGACACAGCATCTCACCCTCCTCAGTGGGGATATGACCTGAGTGTCTGATAGAACTCTTTGGGGAATGGGCTGCACAGAAAGGAGAACTGTCACCACAGGATCTTGGAAGCGAGCCCTGAGTTTGAAATTTGGCTACTTACTCTGGCCGTGGGCATTCAGACACGTTATTTAAAATCTGAGCCCGTGCAGGCATTTATAACATGGAAATAATGACACAAGCTTGGAGCTTGGGTGTAACTGCATTATCTTCCCTCCTACCCTGCCTCCCTTCCCTCGAGGGACCAAGAAGGCAAGAAGATGCCAGGCATCTATTTCCAGGGCAGGGAGAGATGGTCATGAAGGATGACGAGAAGGGGACAGAGCTGGGTCAGCCTTGTGTGGTCTGGATGGAGGTGGAGACATTTCTATGAGGGCTTTATTCCCTGGGGCCCAACCTTTTTAGAGACTGAGGCTATTTTTAGCCCACGTTTTTGTGATTCTGCAGGACAGCTGTTTCAGGCAAGTATGTAGGCCACTCTGTGATATTTGGAGTCATCATTTTAAGGTTAGGGAGTGGGATGGGGGAAGACAACGAGAATAACTCCTGAGTTTCTAGATGCATAGTTGGGAGATTTACCCCTACCCTGCAGAATGCTGCAACCTGCATTTTCTTTGTGGCTACTCTGGAGCTTCTGGAGGGACCAAGCTGATAAACATCCTTCTCTGCGGGGTAGGGGAGGCCTTGCCCCTTGGCATGGGAGATCTTAGTTCCCGGACCAGGGTTGGAACCTGTGCCCCTTGCCGTAGAAGTGTGGAGCCCTAACCACTGGACCATCGGTTAAGTCTCCAGATGAACACTTGTTACTCTTCAAGTTGAGAGTGTTAGTCCTCTTCCAATTTTTTTTTTTGTGTGTGTGTGTGTGTGGCCATTCTGCTTGCCAAAACCAAATCACGATGGAGAAAAGGTTGGTGACACTCCTGCCAATGAAGCTGTGGGAGGTGGGCTTACCCACAGCTGTGAGAACAAAACCAGGACAGCCTTCCTGGAGGGCACGCTGACAGTATGAAATTTAAAAAAGGACTCACCTTTGGACTCAGCATTTCTACTTTTTGTTTCTTGTTAGCATTTTTAATTGTAAAATACACACAACACGCAATTCACCATCTTACTTTTCAGTGTTAAACACTCACACTATTGTGCAACCATCAGCATCCATCTCCAGAACTTTCTTACCTTGCAAAACTGAAACTGTACCTGTCGCACAACTCCCCATTTCCCCTCCGCCCAGCCCTTGGCACCCCCCATTCCACTCTGGATCCATGATTTTGACCACTCTAGGGACTTGATTAAGTGGACTCCTGCAGCTTTTTTTTCCTTCTGTGACTGGCTTATTTCACTCAGCATAATGTTCTCAAGGCTCACCCATGTAGCATACTGCAGAACTTCCTTCCCTTTTAAGGCAGAAGAATATTTCATTGTGTGTATATTATCCGCGTTTCTACTTTAAGGGTTTTCCATTAGAGAAACATTCCTAGAAGTACCCAAATAAATGTCTACTTCCAGAGTCTCCAGGAAAGTGCAGAGTTGGCGACAGCTCAAATTTCAGATGGATACCACGAATATGGGTCAGGTTTTAGTAAGATGTAAATGCGTTGGCATGGAAATGCGGAGAAGATCAATTGTTCCCTGAAAACTCATGCTGAAGAGGAGGCTCTACGGTTCAATCCACTTTAGCAAAAACAAACAAAAATAAAATTTAATTCCAAATTGCTGCTGGTGGTGATCTTGAGTACTCTGTAAGACTTGGGATTTTAAACATAGTTTGGAGTCTGTGTGGTCACAAAGAACAGTAAAGATATTTTTGGAGATGAAAACAGAGAGGAACAGGAGGGCACGCATCTGTTGCTCAAAGAGGTGGTCAGAGAGGAGCATGCTCGGTCCACTCATGTGCTTACAAAGTGATATTAAGAGGTGATGATAGGGATGTCCCTGGCGTTCCAGTGGTTAAGACTTCACCTTCCAATGCAGGGGGTGTGGGTTCCATCCCTGGTGGATGAGCTGAGATCTCATATGTCTTGAGGCCAAAAAACCAAAACATGAAACAGAAGCAACATTGTAAGCAATTCAATAAAGACTTCTAAAAAATGGTTCATGTCAAAAAATGTTTAAAAAGGGGGCTATGATAATCCAGTAGGAAAGGAACCTCTTGGAGACACCCCTTGAGGTCCCATAGGTCTGTCCTGCGCTGTTCATCCAACTGACCCCCATCCAGCTGGTGTTCATCTACAGCCAGTGGTAATAAGAGGGCACCTCAGCTTCTAAGGTCATCCATCAGTCACACCTTGAACTTTATCACTGACCCTGCTATGGCTTCTTAGTAATCTTTGTGCAGGCATACTCCCCAAGAGTAGCCTTGCCCTTGATTCTCCCAACCGATGGTATCTTCCTGCTACCTTCCCTGGCTTCTTCCCTGAGCTTCGAAGACACACTCATCTGGCTATGAAGCTTGAAAAGTGAAAGTGAAAGTCGCTCACTCGTGTCCGACTCTTTACGATCCCAGGGACGATACAGTTCATGGAATTTTCCAGGCCAGAATACTGAAGTGGATAGCCTTTCCCTTCTCCAGGGGATCTTCCCAACCGAGGGATCGAACCCAGGTCTCCCACATTGCAGTGGATTCTTTACTGACTGAGCCACAACGGAAGCCCCAGGGGAGCTTGACGGAATGCAAACACCCACTGCAACCGCTGTTGTGCAGAGAGGATGCTGGCTCAGACGGGCGAGTGAGTACCCACAGCGACCCCAGGAGGCAGGTGTCGGGGTCACACGCATTATACAGATGAGAACTGAGGCTCTGAGAGCTCCACCGAGCCCCGCCCCTCAGGACCCACCTCTCCAGCACTCGCCTGTGGGGATCACAGCTAAGTCTGCTTCAACTGTACAAAGGTAGACAGGGTGGTAGTTCTCTTGGGATAAAAACACTTTTCTTCCTTTTTTTTTTTAGTTCTACCACTTTATTGCTACCAACCCATCTCCCTCCACCCTCGTGCACACATGCTCAGTCATGTAACCCCATGGACTGCAGCCCGCCAGGCTCCTCTGTCCATGGACTTTTCCAGGCAAGAATACCGGAGTGGGCTGCCACTTCCTTCTCCATTTTCTTCCATTTTCTATTCCACCAATTTCCTCCCTCTTTCAGTTTTCCTTCACATAGCATGTTTCCAGTTTCCTCGAATCCTTTGACTATTTTAACTGCTCACTTTGCAGGTGGTTATTTGGCAGTGGGGAGTTGGGGAGCACCTGTTTGTTTTTTTTTTTCAATCACTGCTCACAAAGTCCCTTTTCCTGGCTGATAGCTTCAGGGCTTCTTTTCCACCACGTCTCTGGTCGCATTGGCCCAGGAGCGGAACCTCCCCGGGACAATACAGGGTCTGTCACAACCAAGGGAGGGAAAGAGCCTCTCACCTGGAATGTTCCCGACTTCACAGAGGAGGAATCAGAACAGACCAGGTTGGTGAGTTTTTCTCTTTTACTCAAAGCTTCTGGGCCAGAGTAAGGGGGAAACACTTTATCTCCACCCTCCCTCCCCACGGAGGCTGTGAGATGGCTGAACGGCTGGACCAAAGTGAGAAGATGCTGTCTGTCTTCCTGGAGATTGTTCCAGATGCCAAACATCGGAGTCCTCCGAATTAACTGAGAGATGGCTGACCTTGATCGTTAATTCTCTCAGCTCATCAAAAGTCAGGTTAGAGTTTTCAAGGCGATCTGGGTTTGTAATAGAAACACTTTCCGGAAGAACTCTAATCTTCCTCCTATCAAGGATTTTCAAATAAATTTTTTAAAGAAGCAGAAATCCTATTTAGAACAAAAGTAGACTCTGGAGATGTTAGTCTGTCAGGCTGACTGTTGGGGGAGGAAACATGGCCTATCCCCAGGCCCAGCTGTGAGTAGGCAGGATACACGTGTGTGTGTATGCATGTGTGTGAGTGTGTGTGTGTGTGTGTGTGTAGAGGAGTCAGGACATGAAAGAAGGTGCATGTGGCTGAATCTCTCATTCCTTCTGTCCCTTCATTGCGTTTAACTCAAAGGAAAAAAATGCACAGGCTGCTTGGGGGTGTCCAGGTGGAAGGAAGCCACAGCAGTTTAGTTCAAGTGAACTGCAATCCGCAAATATATCTGAGAGTGAGTCTTTGCCAAGGGAAAAACACTGTTTTGTCTACCCTTTTTATAGGAGATATTTTAAAAAGTTAAGTGAGAACCTGCAATCTGAAGGGTCTACACCTCCTTTTTTTTCACCCTGCAGTGATGGGAGTAGGTGAGTGGGGCGGGGTTGTCAGGGAGGGGCAGAGGGAATTCTGCGCAGCGGGGAGGGGACACTATGTCTGGCTTAAGGAGAGGAGAACTAGAGGCCTTCGTGACTAGGGCTGTCACCCCAGCAATGATAACCAGGTATATTAGTCTGCTTGGGGATGCTTACACAACAGACATATATCTTCTTGGTTCTGGTGGCTCCATAGCTGAGATGAAGCCATTGGCAGTTTGGTCTTTCCTGAGGCCTTGCTCCTTGACTTGCAGATGGCTGTCTTCTCCCAGTGTCTACACACGACCTTCCCTCTGTGAAACTCTGTGTCCAAATTTCCACTTCCTATAAGGAAACTGATTCTATTGGATTAGGGTCCAACCTAATGACCTCATTTAACCTGATCACCACTTTAAAGACCCTATCTCCAAACACAGTCACATTTTGAGGTACTAGGAATTAGGATTTTAACCTATGAATTTAGGGGTGGGGTGATACAACTTCCCAAAGAAAGGTAATGCCAAAGAATGCTCCAACTACCACACAATTGCACTCATCTCACGTGCTAGTAAAGTAATGCTCAAAATTCTCCAAGCCAGGCTTCAGCAATATGTGAACCATGAACTTCCAGATGTTCAAGCTGGTTTTAGAAAAGGCAGAGGAACCAGAAATCAAATTGCCAACATCCGCTGGATCATTGAAAAAGCAAGAGAGTTCCAGAAAAACATCTACTTCTGCTTTATTGACTATGCCAAAGCCTTTGACTGTATGGATCACAATAAACTGTGGAAAATTCTGAAAGAGATGGGAATACCAGACCACCTGACCTGCCTCTTGAGAAACCTGTATACAGGTCAGGAAGCAACAGTTAGAACTGGACATGGAACAACAGACTGGTTCCAAATAGGAAAAGGAGTA